AACTTTGGGTTGCAGCCAGTTATGTAGAGAGAACTTTTATACCGTACTTTCATATCCATAAACCACAGAAATGAATATATGCATGTCACTGAAGTTGAGAAATCGAAGCTACCAAAGTACGATAGACACACACAAAATCTAATTTTGCGCACAAGAATTTCCTATAGCCGTTTGAAGAAGTTTACGTCACCCGTGCGCAACGAAACAACAGGGATTATCCATCACCGAGAAGGGTATTTTCTTATCTCGGTTGGTGATTGACGGTGGAGCCAGTCAACTTTGATCAGTGTAAGCCGTATCGAGAAAACAGGATTCTAATGAAATTTATTGCTGGAAGTTCCCAACAACATTGCTTCTAGTTAAAAAATCCCTTGTTTTCTATATGTTTCTCATCCCAACACTGGATTTGTCTTCTCACGAGTAACCGAGAAATTCCGTTTCACCTAATTCTTGGTAACAAATTAGTTGTTCACCGCCACTCCACGCGGTTAGGAGAAGTATACTCCTTTGGAGATGCGAAGCCTTAGTTTAAACATATATTTGCATGTTTCGTTGATTGCCTGGTCTTTTCTTTCATATTTTCCACAGGCTTGTTGTCGGCTGTGAACCAAGTAAAGCGTATTTCTTGAATCAGTCCCCAAATAAGGGCAGCGCAAGATCGAGCACTTAATATGTACCTTCGGCTTTAAAAATAGAAGGATCTACTCTGGTGTTGTCTTATGTATCAACACTATAAGGAAGCTAAAGGTGGTACAGGATTATCCCTTCCTAAGTTCTCTCATGCTCTAAAAAGACATGCACTGTGAGTACCAGTTGACCGATTCCATGTGAGAGTTCATTATATGTCTCTTAACGAGTGGCCTGTAGCGTAAATAATCGTGTACCAGATGTGATATGTAAAGTCTTTGAACAAATATCTGCTATATTCTCGTTATAAATAGTTTACTGTTGTTTGCCGTCCGTCAGAACGTTTGTGGGAATCTCAAAGTACGCATGCCAGTTTTAAGCGATTCATTGTGCCGGACAGTAGATTGGCATCGCACATTCCGACAGGCTACTACCTCTTTTTTTGTGATAACATGATACCTGCTTTGAAAACGTTCCAATGTTCCAATGTTCCAATGTTCCAACGTTCCAATGTTGAAATTGTTGTTGTTTGACAAAAAAAGCCTCTCAACATCACGTCATTCAAGCAGCGGCTTTTCCGATAAACACCTGTTGACATTTACTCTTTACTTCTACTTGCCAGAAGTTCCGCACTGAACTAGTCACGTTTTGCTAGAGTTGAATGGGAGCGTACACAAAAACAAATCGTCGTCATCGGACTGAAATGGCAAGGTGACTGCGTTAGTCCCCATTATGACGTATCGGTTGATTGTCAGGCACCACACAATATCGGTAAGGCCCAAATATTATGCTTGTTTGTATTTTTTTTTATTAAATCGCAGCCCATAAATTTGCAGAGAAAGGAAGCAGCAGGAAGTCTGGGGATCTTAAGGCAACCATCAGTTCTTGTATATTTGGCGTAAGTGATAAAATTTTAGCTACTCAGCTAATGTTCTTCGGGTACGGTAGGTGTTTGTAATATCATCCGGCTGTCAATTCAAACTTTGGACACAGCACACTAACTATAATATAATTCCGTTATTACAATGGAGACGGCCCCACGGACAAACTAGACATGTAAACAGTATAGCCTCTTTCGGTTTCACGCTTATAGGTCAACTGGGTAACACCTGTCTCCCCAGCCCCGTTAGAACAGGTGTGGAAAGGCTTGCCTACTAACTGAACCACGCTTTTAGGCTTTGATGTGCTGCAACCAGGACGGCACGTATGTGATACGGCACATTCACAGGGCCGGAATGTAAAATAAGTAGGCAAAGACTGATAAAAGGTCAAGTAACAGTGTGGAGTTAAATGTTGCATAAAAAGCGTTCTGCGACTTTGCGAGAATTATGTACTTTATTTTCACATCGCTCGCGTCTGGCGGGTCCGTCTTTTCTCATAGGGTAATTGTTCCGGTGAGTCCACACCAAGCAAGCACTGGAATAGGATGCCGTTAATCAGCAGTGCATATCCTTGGCCGTGATGGGGTCTTAACTCCGGACACCTGACATGCGAGATGAGGATGTGACCACATCTCCAGCAGCGCACGTTCGGCAAAATAAACTATCACGTCACAAGTGGCGGACGTGTTCATTCTTAAGCCATGTGGTTTGCTAGACAACAAAATTCATCTGCGCCCATCATTTGCTTGTGGAGCAGTAATAACACCCTTGCCTTGCATATAAGATTTCCGGAGTTCAAAACCCTACATAGCTAAGGATTGACACTACTGATGAACCCTGATGACGGCGAAACTCGAGCCCAATTCTTACCCCGTTTTTTCGGTGTGGACAATATAGTGGGAATGTTTAGACAATATTGATCTAGAGCGTAAAAGGCTCGCTATAAAAAGTAAAATGAATCAGTAAGCTAGCGCGAGCTTTGCGAAGTTTGTTGTTCTGAGCTTTATCAAACAATTAAGATAACCCATAACAACGATATATCGTTCAAATGAGGCTGAATATATGCATGTTTGTTCTACGGTTGAAAGAGGAATGAATTGTTTGACAAAAGTCCCGTTTTCTGCTTACCCGGAACATTAAGTATAGCGTTCCTGGATATCGAATACATCTGTCGTGGCTAGCCAAGACTGATACTTTAGCGAGTGACAATAAAACAAAGATTCATGTGATACTGAGTTTTACTTATTTTAAACTTTAATGCAGAGAAAGTAATTTGTTATCAATTTTCATACTTAGTACGGCAATGATAAGCCGTCACGGTTAGCGTAAACCTGTCAGTTCCACTGAGAACAACTGCGTGTCTTATCATCAGTTCCCCTCTAAATGATAAAAATTGGCACAAATATTCTGGTAGAATGGGACTGGTTCATAAACTTTACGAAGGGAACCGACACTCCTCTTATCCTCGTATCTCCTCGCCTTCCATTTTCCAGCTTCAGTTGTCGTGATCAAGGATGGGGAGGGATACCAACAATGGTGAGTCGAACGTAAAAATATTTACCTCAACCTGTTCATCAGTTTGCAGTATTACGTTTGCCGAATCACAACCCAAGTACACCGCTTATGAAAGACTGCAAGTTCTCCAACAAAGTGAGGAAGAAGACCATTTTGAAGTATCATATCATCTCTGATTCAAATACAAAGTCTTGCTGTTAAATTGGTAGAAGTTGTGTGATTCAAAAAATGAAAAGGAAAAGCTGTTGTGCAGAACTGTACCTATGGAAAAACTGTTGGCTGCTCAGACGGGGTAGATGGCTGTTGGCTTGTTCGCTGAACCGGGCAATTTGATTTCAAACGTTTCATCACCAATCGGGGTGACCATCAGTACGTTACTGGAGAACGTAGTGGTGCATGGCGGTGCGTTAGTGGTTGTGCGTTGAGTAGTGTTACGGGTGTGTTAATATACGTGCTGTTAGCCGGGGACGACCTTTGATCGCGACTAGTTGTTCGGTCGGATGGTTCAATTGGTTGCTCTGTCATCCCACGTCCTTATTCGCCAATGCCCACGTACCTGTGAGCTTGGCATCCCCTGACGTTGTAATCTGCTCGATGTTGTGGCCTTCTTGGTCATCGTGTATAGATAGCAATGACAGTTTGTCATGCCCCCTGACCGCCGCGTTGTGTTCCGTTATCGTGAGCGTATTCGTCAGGCCAAGTGACTAGGTTCCGAGGTTGATCGAGATTTAAGGCGGAAGGAGAACCAACCAGCTAAGTCAAACTTAATCTCTGTTGGGTGTCGGCTGAGGGATTTCAGTGTGCCAGAGTGATTGAACAAGTGTTGGGTCGGTGGAGAAACCTACATGTGTTTGGGTCCACCCTAGGGTCTAGTTCTTCTGGTTCGGTTCACTTGACGGTTCGTCTTGAACCTCGTTTAAACCTTCTGTTAGTCTGTATGGGTGAGGCAGTGCTAAGAAAGTTGTGTAGGAGGGATGCTGTGACCTTTGGTCGGTTGGGGTTTCCACCCCTACCCCCCGGTTTTTTCTAATGATCCTAGGTGGATTAACAACCACACTGTCACGTGTCAACTCGGCTTATCTAAGACCGCTCTCCATACGCACGCTAGCTCCACACCCTTGATTCTATTCACGCTGTGATGCTCAGTGATTTCCACCGCCTCGGCTATCAGCCGCTGTGGTGTGAATCGCAGTCCCCGTCTTAAAACTTCCACATTCTCCAGATCTATTCTATGTTCCGTGTCTAAGGCATGTACCGCCATCGCTGAGTCTTTGACCAGCGTTTGGTATTCTTCTGCATTCCTTGGTGGTTTGTTGGTCTTTGATTTTTGCTCAGTTTGTTCAACATAGGATTCGTTACAGATGTTGCAGTTGATTTGATATATCACAATGCTCCACTTGGTTTTGTCTTGATTGTCCTTCGGTCTAGAGCTTAATTTCCTTAGGGTGGCATTCGGATTGTGGGCCACGAAGATTCCTTTTTTGAGCCAATAATATGGTTGCGAGTTCTGATTTACTCTTGATGTAATACAGTACTGCCTGACTGGTGGCTTGTTCTTGCTGTTGCTGTTGTTAAGATATCTTCTTCTCCAAGCTTCTTTTGATAAAACTCCCTGGATATCCGTTGTTCTAGAATACTCCGAATAAACGATCTTCTCCATTCTTCCTTAGTTCTGTGGTGCCGCAGTGTGTCTCCGCCCTTTTGAACAAGGTTTATACGCAGCTATTTTTGTGGTTTACTGGATGATTGCTGTTACAGTTCAGTATTTGATCCGTATGAGTCTGTTCCCGGTATACGCAGGTACCTAGCTGTCGATCCTTAAAGAACCCGGTTTTACAGATCGAAAATCGTCATGTGAATGAGCCTCAAGAATACAGACAAAAATTATTTTTTTCTCGCAATAAAGCAACGTAGGTATCCATAGCTTCAGGGTCTGTCTTTTTAAACTTTTTTCTGACCGTCCAATTTGCGTACCTTTTAAGTAGAGTTAAATTCCATGGAAGCCAAATCAGATTTAGCGTTATATGGCCCATCGATAAGGTTCGCTGTGTTCCTACTCTAAATAAAAAAAAACAGATTTTGTCTAGTACTTATTTTATAGTGGCTATCATCAACAAACATTTCTTATTTGTGTGCATTGTAGACTGGCTATTTAGCAACCGACGATACGAAGTCATTTTCGAAACTTCACAGTTCACTTGGTGTTTCAGACGTTGTATAGTACAACACGTATTTGTATTGGCTTTAGTGTGTTGTCACTAGAACTTTAAACACTTCCGTATGGCGTTTAGTTGAAATTCCAACGGTCACTCTTTATTAAATCTACACAACCTACGTCTGGGAAGCCCGCGCTAAAAGCATAATCTCGTATGAGGTTATCACTGCCACTTTTCGCTAGCACAGAACATACCGAAAATCAATCCACACCTCCAGGCTAACAACTTAGATGTTTTCGAGAAATACACCAATTTGGTTTTCACGGGAGACTCAACTGAATCTCTCGTTTATGATGTCCTCCAGCTGAATGTGCTGCACACAGGCCGCCTCATGATTCAGTTGGTACGATATTCAAGATATCGCAGTATATTTTCATAAAGGGAACTACTCACAGAGTTTTCAGCAACCTTGTGAGTAGTTCACTTTATGAAAATATACTGCGTTTTCAGCAACCTTGTGAGTAGTCCCCTTTATGAAAACTTAGGTGTTTCTTAACTAAACCATGTGTGGCAGGTTATACAAACCGAGTTGCTGTCATTTTACATGAACAATTCAACAAGATACATGCGAGGGTATCTGGAGACATCCACAAGAGCAACTTGTAATTGCTCTTCTCATTTTTCAACTACAGCCGTTGTGCTTTGTGTGACGTATCTTGTAAATCCAGTAGAACTGTCTCACATGCCGGAAACTTCAGGATATTCAGACGTAATGTACGTTTTACAGTTGAATTTTCAGTTCTACTTTTATGGCTTTTCTTTCCTTTTCTGTACACAATAAGGCAGTCCAGTTGGTGATTCCGTGCACATATTTATCCAGTGATCGTGGCAACAAAATGCATTAGGCAAATGTTTTGACAGCTGATCAGTTGAACCATTTGAGTGACAAAGACTCACTGAAGCGCGTAACAAACTGTCACCCCACTACAATAGACCCTGCTATCGCAATTCTTGATAACCACCCAAACACTTGAACGACGGGAACATTTGTTGTTTTTCAGGAGTGCTCATCAGCACAGTTGTAAAAATGGATAACCCTTTGTGGCGTTTGGCTTTGCAAACAGCGCGTTTATTCACAAGCAACCTGGTGGTGACACTTTTGTAAAGCAGCGCTGTCGAAGTTGTTTTGTATTGTAAATCGATGCCCAGCTGCAGGCAATCAGTTTTCTGTGGTAAATACAATTTTTACCGCTCAGAAAAATAAGGTACGATAAATAAGGTGCGGATACACTTATCAAGGGCTTGCAATACTGATAAAGCGATTACAAAAAGGAGAAAAAATAGAGTATTACTGACCAACAAACCAATCAGAAAAAGGGTTCAACTGAGTTAATTCAGATATTTGCCTTTCCTTCCCTTGACCCAGCTCTCCGACTTCGGATGAGCTCTTGAGTCACGACATATCCAGTTGACTCGGGTGACGCCTAAGTTGAGGGCTTTTTTCTGTGATCTAAACGTCTGTCTGCCTCAATATCCATCTGTGTTTTACCTATATGTTTATCTATCTATCTATCTATCTATCTATCTATCTATCTATCTATCTATCTATCTATCTATCTATCTATCTATCTATCTATCTATCTATCTATCTATCTATCTATCTATCTATCTATCTATCTATCTATCTATCTATCTATCTATCTATCTATCTATCTATCTATCTATCTATCTATCTATCTATCTATCTATCTATCTATCTATCTATCTATCTATCTATCTATCTATCTATCTATCTATCTATCTATCTATCTATCTATCTATCTATCTATCTATCTATCTATCTATCTATCTATCTATCTATCTATCTATCTATCTATCTATCTATCTATCTATCTATCTATCTATCTATCTATCTATCTATCTATCTATCTATCTATCTATCTATCTATCTATCTATCTATCTATCTATCTATCTATCTATCTATCTATCTATCTATCTATCTATCTATCTATCTATCTATCTATCTATCTATCTATCTATCTATCTATCTATCTATCTATCTATCTATCTATCTATCTATCTATCTATCTATCTATCTATCTATCTATCTATCTATCTATCTATCTATCTATCTATCTATCTATCTATCTATCTATCTATCTATCTATCTATCTATCTATCTATCTATCTATCTATCTATCTATCTATCTATCTATCTATCTATCTATCTATCTATCTATCTATCTATCTATCTATCTATCTATCTATCTATCTATCTATCTATCTATCTATCTATCTATCTATCTATCTATCTATCTATCTATCTATCTATCTATCTATCTATCTATCTATCTATCTATCTATCTATCTATCTATCTATCTATCTATCTATCTATCTATCTATCTATCTATCTATCTATCTATCTATCTATCTATCTATCTATCTATCTATCTATCTATCTATCTATCTATCTATCTATCTATCTATCTATCTATCTATCTATCTATCTATCTATCTATCTATCTATCTATCTATCTATCTATCTATCTATCTATCTATCTATCTATCTATCTATCTATCTATCTATCTATCTATCTATCTATCTATCTATCTATCTATCTATCTATCTATCTATCTATCTATCTATCTATCTATCTATCTATCTATCTATCTATCTATCTATCTATCTATCTATCTATCTATCTATCTATCTATCTATCTATCTATCTATCTATCTATCTATCTATCTATCTATCTATCTATCTATCTATCTATCTATCAAGTTTGTTCCAGAATAACCTTCACAGAATCTCCAGTTGCAGTTGGCTTGACGAGACATTAATCAGTTCCCGCATTCCTGAACCGCAGACTGTAGACTAAGTGTTGACGTTTGGAGCGAATTTTGGTCCACTTATTCACTTATGGCAGACCATCTTTGTTACATTTTGTTTACGCCCTATTCACCTCTGAAATAAAATAACAAGGTGAAATACCACAGCACTCATGATCGCCACATACTGCCTTTAGTTCGGTCAACCAAAGTACTTTCTCGGACACAAATTAACATCTGGCTAATTGCACGAACGGTCGATGATGCTACATCTACGCGTTTATCAGTACAAATTATCAAAATTCGAAAAACCGTTCTTGTTCCGGATCTTGTTTCAAACCGTTATCATGTAATCGCCACTTAGCCACACACGCTAGTTCTAACGCGGTAGATATTACTGGCCACATTTTGCTACAAATTTGGAATCACTTATGTGACAATACACAACTCATCAAATTTTATTGTTTGCATTTTTGCACTCCACTTTGCAACATCTGATTCCACCCAGATTCATCATACACAATCATCGGTATAATAGACTAAAGACGTCAGTGTCCAGACTAAAACCTAATTCAGTTGAGTTTTGGACTGAGCAAACTGTTTGGCTCCGGTTTCGAAGACCGCTTCTTAAAAATGTCTTTCTGCAAATCTACTGAATTTACCTAGTAATCACTTGGGGAAAAAACAAGCCATAATTATCCATCAACCATT